TGATCTGCCAATTATTGTGAACTTCAAGCCTCATAACCTCCTTGAACCTTCTGGTCCATAAAATGAGAGTGATAATATATACTTCATAGAGTTGTTTGTGAGAATTAAATGAAACGATATACATAAGATGCTAGTCTATAGGCAGCAGGTATTTAAGAAGTGGTGATTTCTTTTATCATTGTAAGAATCTATCTATCTATCTACACTAATAAAAGGGTAATATGCTAATTAGACCGGGAGACCTTCCAGGAGACCTTCTGGACAAAGCCATGGTGGCGGGGCCGAGGCAGAGGTGGTTAGGGGCAATCAGGCCAGCAGGGGCGGCAGTTGGAGGCAAGCAGGCTGGGGGGGGGGGCAATTGGGGGCGGAAATTGGGGGCAAGCAGGTCGGCAGGCAGAGTGGTTAGGGTCGATCAGGCAGGCAGGCAAGCGGTTAGGAGCCAGTGGTCCCAGATTGGAGAGGGTGCAGGCCGGGTTGATGCTCCCCCCACCATGTATGAATTTTGTGCACCGGGCCACTAGTACTATATAAAAGGCTAAGTGTCTGTCTGCCCGACTGGTAGCTACGATGTGCACTGACCACCAGGGGGAAGACACTCAGTGCAGTAGCTGCCATGATGCACACTGGCCATTTAAAAATAAATGGCACCATGGACCTGGTGCCAACAAACCAACACTTGGCTTCCTCCAAGTGGGACACAGGCCCTGCCATCACCCCAGAGCGACACCTCACCAAATCGCAGCCAATGCTGCCAAGACCCCATGGCACAAAATGTGACCCACAGCCCAGCCCAGCCCAAAAATGGTGGCTGTGGGCGCTGGGTAATGACGTTATATAGCAAGGCCCGGCTTCTTCTCCCTAGCGATTAGCATCCTTGGAGTTTCTTCAGCCCAGGAACCCAACTTGCTTTATAGCCAGGTGCAAACATTTTACAGTTCAACCAAGTGTTTGTGAAGTGTTTTCCCATGCCTTATCTCATTTGATCTGCACAGAAGTCCTGGAGGAGGTAGATAGGAGACTCAGTAGAATCCTATTTTCTTTTCACTAGCAAGATGCGAATAGCGATATTAAAATATTTCTTCTAATTAATTTTCTTTCAATGTGCACAAATCCGTGCACTGGGACACCAGTAGCAATATAGAGTAACAGCATACCTATAAATCATCCCACAACATGGCCCCTCCTTGGAGAAGCACGTATGGCTAACATAGGCATGTCTGTTTGGCAATGAAATGAAACTCATCAATGAAAAGTTAATTTCTGAAACAACCCCTTTTGTGAGTAGCTGTCTGCACAGGGGCTTATCTCCTGAGCAGAAACTCCGGGGGTGGCTATGGGGTGGCTGGAGAGACTCCATGTGTGCTGGTTACCTCCAGAGGTTGTCCAAGCACACTGCAGAGAAGTACACAGCAGAAGCAATGAGGACCTTAAATCAATACCAACAGACTTGGTTCTTTTTCTTCTTTCCTTCCCCCTCCACTGGCCCAATATTTCTCTATAGTCTCGGAACACAGGCACTGATTATAATAAGTCTACAGGCAAATTAGCCTCTCTCAGTTGTCGTCTTTCCGTCCCTAGAGTGGAGATTACTGCCCAGGGTAGATCTGAGGAGCAAATGGGGTGCTGCATTTGAAAGTGCCTACCATGATATCCAAGAGGAGTGGACACCACCTACTACTGAGTTTCTTTTGGGAACCTCTCCAAGGCTGTCTCAGACTAGGCCAGCAGTAAGTGAACCATGCCAGAAAATGGAGTTGTTTCAGCTGCCTGGAAACAACCTAGTGTATGATTAACAGAGACATCTAAAGACCCATCCCTCCCGGCCCCCAACTTTCCACAGCCAACAACTCTCTGACACAGCAAGCAGCACAAAATATCCATCCTCCTAACTTAACTACTGTCTCTTGAGGTTGGAGGAAGAGGCAACTTCCCACTCCCCATTTGCCTTAGACGACATGAAGTGCATTCCTACATGGCAGTCAACAAATGCTTCTCCAGAGACATGGTGGGACCTGAGGGTCTGTCAGAGAAAGTGGGCCAACATTTATTTGCTCGGTATCTAGTACCATAAGGCAAGCCCTGTTATATGCACTTGTTTAATCTGATTTCACAACAAGCCCATGAGATGGGTATTACCCTCATTTATCAGACGAGGAAACAAAGACTCAGAAAGATTAAGGCGATGCATAGCACGGTTGGTAGTAGTTACCTCTCCCCTAGCCACCTTTCTTTTAATTTAGTTTCCCAACATATGTTCCTGTTATCTTGGTTGCTTTACAGACCAACAAATCTCCAGCCCACACAAAAGGAAGAGCAATACATATACCATATTTCCATTTTTGGATCAGTGTGCTCAGTTTCATTGGATCCTACCAGTAGACACATTAAATTCACGATAATAGTATTAAACTTTACTGTCAATCTACTATGTACTGCCAAGCCCACATGGATGTAAACAGTAAACAGTAAAGGTGGATTATATTTTTTAAGTGAAAGCCGGACTGTTTACTCATTTGTTGAAAACAAATTTTCATACAGTGTGAACCCATTCCTGATTTCTTTTAAACAAGGCTATTACATTTTCAAAGTAAAATGAATGGAAATGTGCTGTTTTCTGCTGCCCGTCTCCCGGCTCCTTCTCTTCCACCCAGTGTGTGTATCTTTCGGGTTTCTTCCTTCCAGAGATGCTCACAGCTGTTTCCCTTCCTCACTCTCGAGCTCTCTAGGGCAGCCTTCATTCTTCCACCCCAGCACACCTCCAGCCCCATGGAAACTCCCCCACGGTATGATTGCTTCCACACTTTTATGTGCTTTAAACAGAATACAGCTGAGAACTGCTTATTGATCCCGAGTGGGGAATCCTCCCTTACAAAGCAACTTGCAGTCGACGGAGGAATGTGGAGGCGTCCTCTACTCCCTGCTCCCCACCTCCATGCTCACCCGCAGGTTGACACCCTCCAAGCCAGGCCCACCGCCCCAGTGCCTCCTCTCCTAAGTACTTCTGATGAAGCTGACTTTTCTGTTTCTCAGACACTGGTTACTTGAAATGCCGAATCACTCCACTTTAATCTTTATCTAGTTTAGAGATTTTATTTTGAAACCCAAATACGGAAAAGAGTCAGTTGCTCCCCAAGTGAAGTCCCAAGAAATATGGATTCCACCTGTTCATCAAAGGCTCATACCTTCTTCTACCCACAAGGCCACTCGGGGTTACTATTCCATTATAAGCATTTCCCACCATGAGTGAATAATAATAGAGATAATAATGAGACCTATCTATGGGGTTATTGTGAGGAATAAATGAAATAAACATCTAAAGGACCTGATAAACATTAGGCATTATAGCAGCAAACTTTCTGCTTGGCCTGAACGCTTCAAAACGACATTTCCACTAGGTCAGTATTGTCCCAGTCACTGATTTAATATGAGATTATGGTGTTTCATTTTTAAAATTGTCCTTTCAACATGGACTGACACATCGGTTGGCTTTAAATCAGCGGTTCTCAACCTGTGGGTCGCCACCCCTTTGGGGGGTCGAACAACCCTTTCACAGCGGTCGCCTAAGACCATCGGAAAACACATATATAATTACATATTGTCTTTGTGATTAATCACTATGCTTTAATTATGTTCAATTTGTAACAATGAAAATACATCCTGCATATCAGATATTTACATGACGATTCATAACAGTAGCAAAATTACAGTTACGAAATAGCAACGAAAATAATTTTATGGTTGGGGGTCACCACAACATGAGGAACTGTATTAAAGGGTTGCGGCATTAGGAAGGTTGAGAGCCACTGCTTTAAATAGTCCCAAATGGTACAAAGCCTGCAAGACCATTCACAGATAGGCAGGTTTCTGTTTGAGCAGGCTTACTTGTAACCAGTTCACCTGCGTCTGCCATTTCCTCTGAGGAGGCTTTCTCTCCTTGTACCCAGGCGGTGTTGGGCAGTTTTATAAAGCGAGGCTCCAGAGTCTCCTTGCTTTCCCTTTGGAAGCACCTAACATAACACAACATTTTGAAATTTGCCATTTGCGTCTTCCATGAGACTACAATGCTGTAAGGAATAAATATTTAGTAGATCTAGAGGTGGGTTGATGTCTGAATCTATATTTTGGAAGATCAGACATGATTAAAGGAAGGGAATAATTAGGAATAATCCTTGGGGCTCATTTTTCTCACCAAAGAGCAGGTATACTTCCATGCTTTGCTTTATTTAGGACATTTCCAGATTAATACCTGGATTGTGGTATTTTTGTGATTGGAAATAACTCTGCCAATCATTCACAAATAACTACCTTCCGTTCTCTTCACCCCAGCTCCTGCCTTTCCTTCCCAGGGTTTCCCATTAGTTCTCTACAGAAGATTTTCAGCCATGGAAGCTCTATATTCCAAAAGGGAAAGGGAAAGGTGACTGGAACAGGACTAAACAGGAAGAGTGAATTATCTACAACCAGAGTTAATAGATACTCCCACTAGTTTCCATTCACCTTCCTTAACTCATAACATTTCTATTGGAGAATTGATTATAGTTGAAATATAGTAATTAATATTTGCATAGCACTTCTCAGCATTTCTATAATGCATTTATCGAAATATTTAATTTAATCATCAGGAGAATTCTATTGGATAAGTTCTTATTCTTTATATTGTACAAATTAGCAAATTGGGCTCAGTGCAGTTAAGTGACTTGCCTAAAATCACACAGCCTGTAAGTCCTGGATTAGGGAAGAACAGAACCAAGCCCAGCTCGGACACTCTACTGTTTTGCTTGGCTTCGTGTTAAAATGCAATGCCGACCCCATGTTACTTGCTATGCCTAACCCAGAGCATTATAAATGAGGTCAGAGTCCTTTTCTTATTCATCATTGTATTCTTGACAGCATTTACCATGCTTTGCTCCTCATCAACACACAATGAAATTCAAGAAACTAAAAGTCTTTAAAGATCTGATATAATTACATGAAGCGAATTGTAAAGTGCGAGGCCTTACCTTGTAGAGTGTGCCCAGGTAAACAGCACCCAGTGGAGCCAATTCCAAGTGTGGAATGCAAAGTCCTGTGCAGAAAGGTGGGCAGCTTGCAGCTCACCGCCCCAAATCCGCAACCACGCCAGGAAGGAAGCGCTGCTTGACCAGGCACCAGTTTCAAATATTTACTCCCAGATGACTGAAGGTACCTAAGAGCAGGTGATAATAATTAAAAGCAAAACCAAACAAAGCACCTGTGAGCCCTGGGCCCTGCCATTATTGTGCACTGGAATCACCCTACTGGAACTTATGAGAAACTGTGATGGTAGAGTCTGTGCAAAGCAGGAACTGTCTGTGCCCTGGTTTCCTTGTCTGTAAAGGGAATGCTACTTGTACCTACTTCATCAGGTTGACATGAGGATTAAATGAATCAATACATTGAATGAGCTTAAAACAGTGCCCGACACATGGAGTAGGAGTGTACTTATCATCGGTATTATTGCGGCTGCTACTGCTGTTAAAGACAGAGCAACACGGATATTTCAGGAGATAAAAGCAAAAAGTTGGCCAACCTCAACCAAATTCCAGGCCAAGCCACCTTGTTTTACTAACCGAGACTTAATGAACACACCTGAACTCTCAGTGAAATAATTTGGTTAACTTTGCCCTTGAGTGGAACTGAAGCCTCAGAAGTTTTTTGATTTCGTTCTAAATCTCCAGTGGGCCTTCTGGATAAAGTGAAAGATTAAAAATGAAAACACCCCCTTTTCTTTTCCCTCTCTCCCTACTCTGTCTTCCGTCTGCTGGAGACCACTTCTCCAGGCCCATGAGCACTCTGCCTCTTCGATCTGTCACTCTCCTCCTTCCCCTGCCAGTGTCTCCTATTTGTCCTTGGGTCTTTTATGCCTTTCCCTGTGACCATGAACCTCATTTATCACTCATTTCTCTGAATCCCTATGGCGCTCACCATCTGGCTTATATGGGTCCTTGCAATTTCCTGTATGTTAATCTTATTTCTCAGAGAGCAATGAACTCTGCAAAAGCAGGCCAGACACCTGGCCCGTCAGGTTAAACTGTGCTCTGAACTCCTGCTGCCCGCTACATACAAAGGTACACAATTTCTCTGTCCTCCCAGGAAAAATTTTCAGTGCGTGTGATGGGTTGAGAAAATCTAGTCAAGTATTACAAAAGACCTTCAAAAATGTAGACTAACATATACCAGAATAACACAAACCAGACATTTATTTTAAAAAATATTTTCCTGGGTGCTAATTTTTATATTTTAAAAATTGATTTGAAAGAGAGAGAAAGAGAAAGAGAGAGATTTGTTGTTCCACTTATTTATGCACTTATTGGTTGCTTCTTGTATGTGCCCTGACTGGGGATCAAACCTGAAACCTTTGTGTATCGGGATGATGCTCTAATCAACTGAGCTACCCAGCCAGGGCCTTGGTGCTAATTTTAAACTTTCTTCTGTTTTCATAGAAGGTGCTGCTCTTTTGACATACAGGTTGGGGCAAAAGTAGGTTTACAGTTGTGAGTATGTGAAACACAGTTTATCTTGTATTAATATTTATTAGTTATTGTATTATTTTCCATACGAATAACTGTAAAACTACTTTTACACCACCCTGTATATCTTGAAAAGGAAGTTTTTCCTTCCCAGGTACTTGCAGGGTGCAGCCCCAACCAATTTTGACGCTAGTCTGACAAAAACCAATGTTTTTTCCAGGGATTCACACTATTATTTGCTTCTGCCTTTATTCCGTATTGAATACTGCCCTCCCTCATGGGCTGGCAGGCACTCTGCCTGAGCCTCAGCCCACTGTGCCATCCAGCCCGGCTGTCCATTCCAGACTCCCATGGCAGGGAAGCAGGGAACTGCCAGCCAAAAGGCTTCAACTTTCAGTGCTCTTAAGAGACAAGCTTAAGTTTGTTGAAGATTAAGGCCGAAATCAGGATTAACTCGTGGTGGGAAATGCTTATAATGGAATAGCAACCCGAAACCATAAAGTCGTGCCAGGCCTGACTATATGTTACTATCCTCTATTGATTGCTGCCATATTGATTTATTATGTTGGACCTTCTTGGGTAGAAATGGCTTCAAGCAAGTCCGAATTCACTGGCCCCCTTGAGCCCTAGACATTGGTCATCTTTCTAGAAATGAGTTCCTGAGTCAGAGCTCACTCCAGCTTCCGGCCTTGTGCCGCCAGCCCCTGTAACCGAATCCCTGCCCAGCCTGGTGCCATTTCCTCTGAGACTGCACTTTCTAGAGTTTTCCTTCATGGGAATCAGAGTTCAAAAATAAAACTAAGGATGAAAAACCACACCAGTCCTTGCCATGTTACCTAGAGGCTCCCGCCTTAACATGACGCCAAGTTTACAGTCCTTTCACCAAGGTCCGGGAGCTGCCACTGGCTCATCAGAACAGGGCAACCTGGTACTATTCTCCCGCCCTCATTCCCCTGATGCTGTCATTTCCAACTAAGAGGGTTTTTAGTCGGTGTGCCTGTTTGCCAAAACCTATATAAATCAGAATGTGCACTTTGCAAGACTTAGGTTTGATTAATCTTAAAAAATTTAGAAGCTGCATGAGTGGGGTTTGAGATTAAGTGTGCAAAGATGTTAGGATCAGCCTCCCCACCAGCCTTCAGATTGAGATGGATGAGGAGCAATACCAGGTTTGAGCTGCCCATAATTGAAAAAGTGTGTGCCCAAAATATCATATTTATCCCGCATTTCTCCGAGAGCCATAACTCTAAGGCCTTTCATTAGAACCTCGATAAAGTAAAAATGTCTTCAACTGTAAGAGTCCCAGACCCCCTGGGCATTCATGAATTGCTTAGAGAACAGTTAGGAATGCTGAGAATAAAAGGTATTGGGGAGGAAGAGAAGGGTGAATTCCCTAAAGGCAAATGGGCCCTAGGTTTCCCTGAGAAAGCAGCACAAACTGAAGAGTAGCATTTGTGAGCGAGTGACCAGTGGGAGTGTCAGTGTAAACCACCAGAATCCCATTGGCTAAGCTGTAGCAGCCACATGGTCCGCCCAGGGGCATCATGGATGCAGAGCTGTCAGGTGCCCAGCTCTGGGTCGGCACTCACACTCTGTGCTATGTAAGTGGACATGGTTCCTGAGGTTGTGCATCTTGGTGGCTGTGAGCAGTGGAAGCCACTGGAGACCTAAATGTGGGCCCCAGGGGCAAGATCACAGGTCTTCTGGCCCTTTATCAGCCCCAAATCTGTGCTAGTGGTGTCGAAGCTGAGGGATGGCACTCTCGTGAGAATTCAGCAAACACCGAGCATGTGTCCTGTGCAGTTGTATGCATGGCATTGTGGGGGATGCAAATATGCCTGAGAAACACTTAGCGATCTGAAGAAGCATGTGGGGATGGGCTGCAATCTCTTACCTGGCCATGGCTCATGCCTGACCATGACTTTAATGTGCTGACACCTGGGCTGCTGTTCGCTCCCTGACCACCCAGCCCCATCCTTGTCCATTTCACCCACCCCTGTTTGCTTAAGTCTGCTTGTTTTAAATGACATAATGCAGACCCCAAAATATAAACAACTATAGATTAGACGCTGGACTTTGAATCTCTCCAGAAAATTCACTTTGTTCTCTGCTCCCTTTGGAATACTCAGATGTTGACCCTGAAAAGTTCTACTAGTGTTTCGTGTGAGTGTGTGTATGCATTCACACCCATCACCCCCACACAAAGGATTCACAGAGGTCATTTCTAGTGAAGCGCAGGCCCAGGGCTACAAAATAAACATTCAATGTGAAACATAAATTAAACTTAAATATTAAAAAGTTGGCAAGCAGCTTAGCATGAGATTTTATTTTCATTGCAGGTCTGTGAATAAGGGTCATGCATAATAACTAAATGGGCTGATTCTCCTTGTTTACTTCTTGAAGGCATAACGCTGGGGCTAAAGAAACAGTATTCACTGGCACAGTATTTTGACCACTCATCGGAGCTGGTGGATTTGGCAACACAAAGAACTAAGGGGCAAATTCATAGACACGTGACCTGGCGTGAGGCTCACTGGAGGGCAGTTCCAAGCTATCAGCACATCAACACTGCCTGGGCCTGTGCAGAGAGAGGCGGCACCCCAGGCTGTCCTAAGGTCCTGTGTGAAGAGGTTTGGGGTGATTTATCTGAGGATGTGTTTTTACTGATTTTAGAGAGAGAGAAAGGGAGAGAGTTAAAAACATAGATGTGGGAAACATTGGTCAGTTGCCTGCCATATGCCCAAATAGGGACTGAACCCACAACCTCGGTATACACCCTGACCGGAAATTGAACTCATAACCCTTTGATGCGTGGAAGGACACTCCAACCAACTGAGCCAGGGCTCTGGGGGTGATTCTGATAGAGGTGGCCAGGGGACCGTATGAAGAAACTGATATGCTCAGTGAAAACTGCTGACCAATTGTGCATCTACATGAAGGGCACACAGGAGAGTTCACTGGACTATTCTTTCAAGTTACTCAGAGGTTAAATTTGTATAAGATACAAAGTTAAATAAAACAAAAGACCCATCCTCTCACAGTATGCCGAATTCCCTCAAACACAAAAGCAACAGGACAAAGGGAGGGGTGTGGAATTCTCCCTCAGCCTTCACTTCTTGGCTCAGGCTGGGTCTATGTGTGCCTTGAAATTCTTCGACACTTGTTGAAAAGCCACATAGGGGATGCTTAGTCAGAAGTCTGGCCACTTCAGATCAGGCCGGATGACAGACTGACAGCACAGACGAAGGGGTCCTTTTGTCCAGGACCCTCTGGAGGACAGAAGAAGGGCCTGCCAGACCCACAGGTGTGGACGTGTCTCCCCCAGTGGGTGAGGAGCCGCACTCAGAAATTCTTCTCCTAGGGCTAAGCACCCAACATATGCGACTGATTAGAGCTAATATCTCATTTCTAATTCCATTGATTCCTCGGAAAGAGCAAGTCCCAGAGACCACGGCTATTCTTAGCAATTGCAGCTCCTCCCCCACCGCTCACTGACTCGGAGAGGAGAGGGAGGAGGTGGCCAGCAGGGACTGTCAGACGTTGGCAGCGAGGACCTGGCCCCCACTGACTGTCGGTGGGGCACGGTGTCCAAAGCACACGCCTGCGGTCAGCACAATACAAACCCACACATGGGTCTCTCCCGCCTCACGTCTTCCCCATTTCCAAGCCACAGCTGTGGCAGAGCCACCATTAATAA